CGGTTGTGGGGCGAAGACCCAACCCCACTCCTTCTCCCCTCCTCTCCAAGCCAGCGCCAGAGACCCATGACTCAAGGTGATCTGGGAGCCGGGTTGTGGGGCACCCTCTAATCCTGTAGAAACTCTTTCTCAGCTAAGGCCACCAATTGAGCTTTACAACTAAATGGGGGGGGGGTGGAGGGGGCCAGGACGGTTGTGGGGCGAAGACCCAACCCCACTCCTTCTCCCCTCCTCTCCAAGCCAGCGCCAGAGACCCATGACTCAAGGTGATCTGGGAGCCGGGTTCTAATCCCGATTCCCGGCGAGGTGAGGAGGGAGGGTGGGGGTGCCCACACCCGGCCCCCCCCCCACCCTGTGCAGGAAATAGGCAGGAGGGTAGGTGGCTAAGAGCTCAGACAGTGGAAGGGAGAAGCAGGGAAAGCAAGAGCAGAGAGAGCCCAGACAGAGAAGGAAGAGATTTCGAAATAGGTGATCAGGAAGAGACTGAAGAGGTTTCTAAACTGGGTTCCCCAGAGTTTATTCTAATTGAATTTTCTCAATGCACAGTTCACCCTGTTTCCTGCAAAGAAGCCCACTCTTCCTATCAGCATGTAGTCCATTTATCTAATTCCTTGAAAGTCTGTGGGTTTTTTTTCTGCATGAGGGCTTCCACTGAGAAAGAAAGGGACAGGGGGTGGCGAGGGAACCAGGGACAAGACAATCTGTGCTGTCTTTAGCTTTTGATTTGTTTTGAGACACCACCTAACTCAAGCCCTCTCTATTTCTGGATTTCTGGGGGCTCTGCTTTTATGGAGATGCAATTTACATGCAATAAAATTCACTCTCAGCTCCAGTCGGGAGCTGCCCTCTGGAACACACACCAGCACTGTCAGTTCCCATGGCTTTTCAAAAGAAGCTGGAAATTCAAATTTATGGTAGGACATTTCCTGATTTTAAAATACTAGCCGGGGCACCTGACTGGCTCAGTCAGTAGAGCATGCCAACTCTTGATCTTGCGGTTGCACGTTCAAACCTCACGTTGGGTGTAGAGATTACTCACCATAAGAAGGCTTTAAAATAAAATAAAATATCAGCAAAAAACCCCAAACACCTATGGTTCCCCCACAGATTTCTTTCTCTCTCCCACTCTCTCTTGTCTTCTCTTTCTGCTTCTACTTTTTTTTTAAAGATTTATTTATTCATTTATTTGACAGAGAGATAGAGAGAGCACAAGTTGGGGTGGGAGAGGATGGCAGAGGGAGAAGGAGAAGCAGACTCCCGCTGAGCAGGGAGCCCCGACATGGGGCTCTATCCCAGGACCCTGGGATCATGACCCGAGCCGAAGGCAGACGCTTAACGACTGAGCCACCCAGGTGCCTTGCCTCTACTTTTTTAAAGTAAAATTCACATAACATAAAACTTAGCACTTGAACAATTTTCAAGTCCACAATTCAGTGAATTCCACCACACTCAACCCACTGTGCAACCATCACCACAATCTAATTCCAGGACATTTTCTTCAGCCCCAAGAGAGACTCTGTACCCATGAAGCTGATGTCCATCCCATGATGAATGGTAAATAAAATATGGTCTATCCATACCATGGAGTATTATGCAGCCGGAAAAAGGAGTGAGGCACTGACACCTGCCACAATGTGGATGAACTTTGAAAACAGTATGCTAGGTGAAAGAAGTCAGTCGCAAAGGCCACATCTTGTATGATCCCATGTATGTGAAATGTCCAGAACAGGCGCATGCACAGGGACAAAAAGCAGATTGGCGGTGCCGGGGCTAGAGGGAGTGGGGAGTGGCTACCTAGTGGTTCTCTTTTGACATACAGTCTTGCAGTTTGTGGCTTCTGGAAAAAGTCAATCCCTTCTTTTGTAGCTGGAAGCTTCAAGAGGGCACGGACTGGCTCACAACCTCATGCTCACACCTCCCGCACTCAGGGAAAGCTCTGAGCACCTTTGCCACCTCCCCTGGGGAGCACCCCAGAGCTCTCAAGTCCCGAGCTCCACGCTTTACTGTTGGGCATCATTGTAAGCTCAACATGCAGCCTGTTTCCTAGAGAGAACTCAGCTATGCCAACACCCGGGCCGAGGGCCCACAGCATGGAGACCATCACAGATGTGGAAACTGAGGCAGGACTAGATAAAGTCACTCACCCATAGTCATGCAGCTGGCAAGTACCAGAGCCAGAGTTTGAACCCAAGCAGGCTGTCTCCAGAGCCTGTATCATTAATCATTGTCCAAAGATATGGATGAACAAATGAATGGCTAACTGAATGAGTACAGGGGTGAACAGAAGAACGTAGGAATGTTCTTACAGGTTTCAAAGTAGGATAGCTTTTGGAATCCTACAGACTGGGCTGAAACCTCAGCTCACACCATGACTCACTGGGGGCTATCAGGCTTTGGCTTGACCTCAGTTTGTTCATCTGAAAGATAGGGCTGGGAGGCAGCTCCCTGTCCACACACTACTTCCTCTTGGGATCATCAAACAAGGCAACAAAATATGGGTGAGAATATCAGCTACATTAAGTGAAGACACTCTCAAAATTGCCCTTCCCAGTTTCTTTCTGAAGAAAGAATTTTCAAAGCTGACTTAGATGACAGAATCTTTTTCTCAGCTGTGAAGAACTATCAGTTACAGCTTGGTGCTGTTCTTTGTCTTCTGTCTCTACCTCTATCTCTCTCTCTTCTATTTCTCTGTTCAATTCATTCACTCATGCATTCACTCAACAAACATTTCAAAATGCCCTGTGTGCCTGACCCTCTGTTGGGTGACACTGGGACCACAGAGTGGCATCAGAACCAGTGGCCCCCACCACTCTCAGAGCCTTGCCCTGTTTCTCTTCCATCCTTCCCAGTCAAACCTATCCCCAGAGATCTACTCACCGCTTGCCCCCCACAGCCTCTGTCTTTTTGGGTCTCCAGAGACTTCCCTGTTGAGCAATCCCGTAGTCTCCTGGTCCTCACTTTACTCAGCCTTCAGGCAGCCTTCCACCTGGCCTGCCCCTTCCTCCTTCATGCATTTCTGGTTTCCCTCCCACTTTCTGCCTCTCAGTAATGAATAGGCCTTTTTTTCCTCCCCTGGTGCCTTGACAAACAAAGGTGTTCCCAGGGCCTGTCCTAAGCCTTGTTCTCCACACTGACTGCATACATGGGGCAGTTTCACCTGTCACCTGCGATAGCATGGCTCTTAGTCTCTCCCTGGCTTCAGGTCTGTGCATCCAACAGCCTCCTGGATGACCCAAACCCAGCTCCCCAACTGTCCCACCAACCTGTTCTCCGACCCTGCTCGCTCCATTCTGTGGCCCTAGCTCCCAGCTGGTCCTCTGGTCTGGACCCTTGGGACACTGATTGTCCCTAGTACCCAGTGTCTCTTCCTTCTTCTGAGACATCCCATCCCAAGACTGCAGCCACCACTCACTGCTCCCTGGCTCCTGGCCCGGAAATCTGCCTCCAGAGGTCTGGCCCTCTGCAGCCATTAGTGTCTTGCACGGCTAGGGCAGGGACAGAGACAAGCCAACTCCGCACTGAGCCCAGAGCCTGCCCCGGGTCCATCTCAAGACCCTGATATCATGACCTGAGCCAAAATCTGCTTTCAACCCTACCAGAATTTATGCTGCTGAGGTGAGGAAAATGCAATCTGGTTGCCAGGAGAACCAACAGCATGATTAGAAGGTTGGAACTTTCAGCCCACCCCCTCCAACTCCGCCCCTGCCCAGAACTCTTGGGCTGGGAAGAGGCACACAGATAGGTCTGCGCGCAGACATGCTACCCAGAGCCACTTGATGGAAGCCCGCAGCCCCACACCTCTGTTCCTGAAGGCCAACTATGGAAGCTTCTGACTTGGGTTGGTTAAGTCTACAACAGCAGATGCAGTGCCAAGCAGCACAGTCTCAAATGCATGTTCACCAGCAGCCAGCAGGGCCAGTGAGCAGGACAGCATGATGAGAAAGACCCCGTGGTCATCTACACTCCTGTTCACAGTGCCAAATATGGCCACCCCCAGAGGCAGGAGGGACCCTGTAGTGCATGTGTGGCATGTCAGGCCAGACATGTGGGCCAACTTTCAGATGGAGGAGTCCATCGGTTTCTGTGGGGTGGCTACAACATTATCCTCTATTATCTCTCCTCCAAAAATCCTCACTTGGGCCTCCGCCCCCTCTACCCTCCCACAGCCTGTCTGCTTCTTTTGTCTTGTCATTGAACTCGTTAGAATGGAAACTTGGGCTTATATGCCCATTGCCCCTGTGATATTGTGATTTAGGATAAGAAGTATGTTTTTGGTCTTAGTCCCCATTCCTGGCACAGAGCTCCTAAAACTCTAGGAATTTCCTAAGAAAGCAAAAAAAAAGAGGTGTCTTTTGTCCTGTGAATGACTTTCAGGGAAAGCACCTAAGAATGGGAGGGGACTGGGGCTGCAGATGGAATCAATCACCAATGGACAATGAGTTAATCAATTGTGCCTATGCAGTGAAGCCTCCACAAATACCCAAAAGGATGGGGCTCAGAGAGTTTCCAGGTTGGTGAACGCATGCAGA